AAAACGGATTTGTGACGATTGAATAAAAATAGAGTTATGGACTTAGATTGGAAAACCTATCTTTTGGGTACATCAAAACAGACTATAACATACGGAGTTATTTCCGCGACGGAGCCTGGACAACGCCCGAACTGACAACTGACGAAACGGTCACGATGCATATGCCGCGACCTGCCTGCACTACGGGCAGGAGGCTTTCGAAGGACAGAAAGCATTTCGCGGCGCCGACGGCGTGATCCGCATCTTCCGTCCGAAGAGAATGCCAAACGGATGCGCTCCTCGGCCGAATACCTGAAAATGGCTCTGCCGCCGGTCGATATGTTCGTCGATATGATGAAGCGGGTGGTTAAGGCCAACGAACGTTTCGTCCCTCCCTACGGGACGGGCGCTTCGCTGTATATCCTCCCCGTGCTGTTCGGCACCGGCCCGCAGGTCGGCGTAAAGCCCGCCGGGGAATACCTGCTGATCGTTTTCGTTACTCCGGTAGGTCCTTACTATAAGGAAGGGTCAATCCGATCAAGGTGTTGATCGACCGCGACCACGATCGCGCCGCTCCGCTCGGAACGGGCACGTGAAGGCCGGCGGGAACTACGCGGCGAGCCTGACTTCGGCCGAGATCGGGCATGAAAAAGGATATCCGAGCGTGCTGTATCTGGATGCAAAGGAAAAGCACATCGACGAATGCGCGCGCCAACTTTTTCGGCATCCGCGACGGCGTTTACATTACGCCCAAATCCCATTCGGTGCTGCCGTCGATCACGAACATGAGTTTGATGACGCTGGCCGCGGAGATGGGGCTGAAAGTCGAACAGCGTCCGGTCGATTACGACGAGCTCGGAACGTTCGATGAAGCCGGATCGTGCGGAACGGCGGCCGTTTTGTCGCCCATCGGCAGCATTTACGATCCGCTGACCGGACATACTTTCGTTTACAACGACGGCAAGCCGGCAAATGGAGCGAAAAGTTGTACCACCGACTGCGAGCGATCCAGTATGCCGAGGAACCCGATACGTACGGATGGATGGTTGCGTTGTAAGGAATCGTTTTTGAAAAACAGGGAACTGCGGACGGGGAATCCCGCTCCGCAGTTTTTAATCCGGGTACGATGACCGAAAAGGAACTGGCCGCCGAACTGAAAGGCATTTTTACCAAAGGATTTGCCGGACGTTACGGGAGATTGATTGCGGAACACGATCTTTTCGGGGACGCGTTGAGCCTTGGACTCGACAGCGATCCGTCCGTTGCGTTCCATGCTTCGTATGCATTGGAAAGGGCGTTTTTTATTGCGCCGGAGGCGTTCGAGCGGCATATCGGGCATTTCGTCCGGAATTACCTCGCGATCGTTAAATCCGAGCGCGTGCCGTCATTATTCGAAGATGATGGCGTGGCTGCTCGACCGGAAGCGGATCGAACTGACCGACAGTCAGCGCCGACAGATCGCCGAAACGACGTTCGACCGGCTGATAGACCCGTCGGTGCGTCCGGCCGTAAAAGTGTGGTCGATGGAGATACTCGACATCCTGTCGGCAGAATTGCCGTGGTCGAAGAGCAGCTTTACGATACGATCTGCTGGCTAATGCGCGACGACGGTCCGGCGCTGCGGAACCGGGGAGCGAAAATCTGCCCGCCGCATCCGTGCGCGACGGCAGACTGCGCGGCGGTGATTGCCGTTTATTCCCGTTTTTTATATCTTAGGGCATCAATTACTTCGATTATGGCAAAGAAACTGACCGTAGCGCTGATTTACGATTTCGACGGCACGCTTTCGCCGGGCAACATGCAGGAGTACGACTTTATTCCGGCGATCGGCAAAAGCAACCGCGAGTTCTGGGAGGAGAGCAACGAAACCGCCCGCGAACAGGACGGCGACCCGATCCTCGCTTATATGTACCGGATGCTGCACGAAGCCAAGAGTTCCGGCATTTCGTTGCGGCGCGAGTCGTTCGCCCGGTCGGGACAGAATATCGAATTGTACGAGGGCGTCCGCGAGTGGTTTCCGCGGATCAACGCCTATGCCGCCGAACGCGGCATCCAACTGCAGCATTATATCAATTCGTCGGGCCTGCGCGAGATGATCGAAGGAACCCCGATCGCCAAGGAATTCCGGAAGATTTACGCCTGTTCGTTCCTTTACGATATCGACGGCGTGGCTTACTGGCCGGCCGTGGCGGTCAATTACACCAATAAAACGCAGTTCATCTTCAAGATCAACAAAGGGATCGAAAGCGTGTACGACAGCCGGCGGATCAACGAGTATATCGAGGAGGAGCAGCGTCCGGTGCAGTTCCGTCACATGATTTATTTCGGCGACGGGACGACCGATATTCCGTGTATGAAACTGGTCAAACAGCAGGGAGACATTCGATCGCCGTCTACAATCCCCGTTCGCGCCAGAAACGCATGGAGATGATGGAACTGATCCGCGATAACCGCGTCAGCTATATCTGCGCTGCCGATTACAGTCCCGATAAGGAGATCGACTGTCTCGTCAGGACGATCATCGACAAGATCGAAGCCGACCACAAGTTGAGCAAATTCTATAAAAAGTAATTTGTATTTTTAAAAGCTATGAAAATTATTTTTGCTACCAATAACCGTCATAAGCTGACCGAAGCGCAGGAGATTCTCGGCAGTGGTTATCAGTTGGTAACGCCTTGCGATCTGGGTATTACCGAGGATATACCGGAAGAGCAGCCGACTCTGGAGGGAAATGCTTTTCAGAAGGCCCGCTACCTGTACGACCGCACCGGGCTGGACTGTTTCGCCGACGATACCGGTTTGGAAGTCGATGCGCTCGGCGGCGCGCCGGGGGTTCGTTCGGCCCGTTATGCCGGGGATGGCAGAATTCGTCCGACAACGTGGCGCTGCTGCTCGAAAACCTTTCGGGACAGGCCGACCGAAAGGCCCGGTTCCGCACGGTGATCGCGCTGATCTTCGGAGGAAAGGAATATCAGTTCGACGGGGTGGTCGACGGTACGATCACGGACGCCGCACGGCGGGGGAGGATTCGGTTACGATCCGGTTTTCGTTCCGGACGGTTACGACGTCACGTTCGCGGAGATGGATTCCGAAGCCAAAAACGCGATCAGTCACCGCGGCCGCGCCGTCGAAAAATTGGCGGCGTTTCTTTCGGGAGCGAAATAATGCGTACGTACAAAGCCCGCGGCGTGGTGCTGCATACGATCAAATACGGCGACAGTTCGATGGTCGCCTACCTGTTTACCGACTTGTTCGGGCGGATGAATTACATGATCCAGGGCGTGCACAGCAGCCGGGGGCGGGGCAACAAGGCGGCGCTGTTCCAGCCGATGTTCCTGGTCGAATTCGAAGGGATCGAGCAGCCGCAGGCGCGGATGCATCGCATGAAGGAGGTGCGCAGCCTGACGCCGCTTTCGAGCCTGCCGTTCGACGTCCGCAAGAGCACCATTTCGCTGTTTATGGCCGAGGTGCTGTACCGATTGATCCGCGAGTCGGAGGCCAACGAACCGCTGTTCGATTTCGTCTGTCGGTCGGTCGTGCAGTTGGATCGGATGACCGAAGGGATTTCCAATTTTCACCTGTGGTTCCTCGTGCAACTTTCCGCCTACCTCGGATTCTATCCGGGCAACGAGCCGATCCCGAACGGTTATTTCGATATCCGGGCGGCGTGTTTACGCCGTCCGTTCCGGCGCATCGGATCTGCATGGACGCTTCCTGTTCCGGCTTGCTCGGCGATCTGATGGATTGCGAAGCCGACCGGCTCGGTAGCCTGCCGTTGTCGCGGACGCAGCGTTCCGCTTTTATGGAGTCGATGCTGCTGTTTTTCGGTTATCATCTGGACGCTATCCGTACCGTCCGGTCGGTGTCGATTTGCGTGAGATTTTTGAGACTTGTCCGCGGCGGGCGCTCGTTTGGCTTGCGACCGATCGACGGTCGGGATGGCGTTTGCGACCGGATCGATCGAGCCGCGGGGGCGGCAGGAACCGTTTATTTTGCCGGATAGTCGGCGCCGTTTTTTCAGCATACTCCCGGCGCCAAGGAAAATCTGCTGTCTTCGAAAACCGCCTAAAATCTGAAAATTATAGGACGCGTTATTCTTTTTATCGGATTTGCGGCCGGCTTACGTGTAGTTCGGGATGCTGTGAATCTTCCGGTACGGTTCGTTGAATCAAAAGATTTCGACGGCGATGGTTCGCCGGGAGCGGAGAGGCGTTGCAGTAACGAGGCCCGCTGCCCCGACCGGGCCTTATTTCGATAAAAAAGAGGAACGGGTCGATTATCGACCCGTTCCTCTTTTTATAAGAAAACGTCCGGAAAACCGGCTGTTCCTATGCAGTCGTCGATCGCCGCGATTAGCAGCGGAACGCTTTTTTCAGTTTATCGACGGCATCCAGTTTCTCCCATGCGAAAAATTCGATCTCTTTGCTCACTTCTTTTCCTTTTTCGAAAAGGGTTACTTTTTGCGTATAAGGACGGTTGCCGAAGTGTCCGTACGAAGCGGTCGCTTCGAAGATCGGGTTGCGGAGTCCGAATTCGCGGACGATGGCCGCAGGCCGCAGGTCGAACAGGTCGTTGATTTTCGCGGCGATCTGCCCGTCGGTCATTTTCACTTTCGAAGTTCCGTTCGTGTTGACGTAGACGCTCAGCGGTTGTGCGATTCCGATCGCGTAGGACAGTTGTACGAGCACTTCGTCGGCGATACCGGCCGCTACGAGGTTTTTGGCGATGTGCCGGGCGGCGTAGGCTGCGCTGCGGTCGACCTTCGAACTGTCTTTGCCGGAGAATGCTCCGCCGCCGTGGGCTCCGCGTCCGCCGTAGCTGTCGACGATGATTTTGCGGCCGGTCACTCCGGTATCCCCGTGCGGGCCGCCGATCACGAATTTGCCGGTCGGATTCACATGCAGGATGTAGTCGTCGCCGATCAGTTCGGCCAGGCAGTCGCCGGCTCGTTCCAGGCGGGCTTTGGTGCGCGGAATCAGGATGTTTTGGACATCTTCGCGGATTTTGGCGCACATCGCTTTTTCAGCGGCTTTTTCGCCGCCCGCTTCGGCGGCCGTAATGAATTCGTCGTGTTGGGTCGATACTACGATCGTATGCACGCGCTGCGGTTTGTTGTCGTCGCCGTATTCGATCGTAACCTGGCTCTTGGCGTCGGGTCGCAGGTAGGTCATCACCTTGCCTTCGCGGCGGATGGCGGCCAGTTCCTTCAGGATTACGTGCGACAGGATCAGCGTGGCGGGCATCAGCTCCTTGGTCTCCGAGCAGGCGTAACCGAACATGATTCCCTGGTCGCCGGCGCCCTGTTCCTCTTCGGTCTCGCGTACGACGCCCTGGTTGATATCGGGCGACTGTTCGTGGATCGCCGACAGCACGCCGCACGAATTGCCGTCGAAACGGTAATCGGCGTTCGTATAGCCGATCCGGTTGATCACGCGGCGCGCGACGTCTTGTACGTCCACGTACGCTTCCGAACGGACTTCACCGGCCACGACGACCAGCCCCGTGGTGCAGAGCGTTTCGCAGGCTACTTTCGAATTGGAATCGTGACGAAGAAATTCGTCGAGGATTGCATCGGAAATTTGATCCGAAACCTTGTCGGGATGTCCTTCGGACACCGATTCGGAGGTAAATAAAAATCCCATCTTTAAAATTTTTAATGGTTTAAAATACTTTTAAACAATGGGAAAAACTCAGCTGTTGTAGATGAACACAAATACTATTTTAGCATTTTTTTCCGTGGTTGCAAGCGGCCAAATCTTTCCACAAATTCAGTAACGGCGGCAAAGTAATAACATTCGGATATTGCCAAAAGTTTTCGGCGTATCGCTTTTGCGGAATAGTACGGCGTTGCGTTCGTTTCGGCGTCCGTCGTCGTCAGAAAGGATAGCCTACGCCGAAATTCAGCGTCGTGTTCTGCATCCGGAAGTTCTGGATCCAGCGCTGTCCGGCCGCTTCGTTCGGGTTGTGCAGTTTGATGCCCCAGTCGATCCGGAATACGAAGAAACTGAAATCGAACCGCGCGCCGAGTCCGGTATTGAATCCCAGTTGTTTGTAGAATCGGTCGATTTTGAACTGCGATTCTTCGCCGTAGCCGCCCTGTCCGAGGAACCAGATGTTGCCGACATCGAAAAAGAGCGCGCCTTGCAAGATTCCCCAGACTGGAAAACGGGCTTCGAGATTCGTTTCGAGTTTGAAGTTCCCCACTGGTGGGATAGTCGCTGACCCAGCGCACTTCGTTGCCCGGGCCGAGCGTCCGGGCCAGCCAGCCGCGCATACTGTTGCTGCCGCCGCAGTAGAACAGCCGCTCGAACGGGATGGATGTCGAATTGCCGTAAGCGTATCCCCATCCGCCGTAGAAGCGATATACGAGACTGGTTTTCGGCCCCAATACGAATTTTCGCGCCAGGTTCAGATCGAACCGGAAATACTGGGCGTACCGGATACCGAACAGTTTGTAATACTCTTCCCCCGACGAACGGCCGAACAGGTGGCTCAGTCCGTCGATCAGGTTACCGTTCGTTTCGAAATTGAACCGTAACGCCAGCGAATTGCGTTCGGTGTTGATCTTCTGGTTGTTGAAGATATACGAGCCGGACAGTCCGGCGATCAGCTGCGATTCGTAGCTGTTCCGCAGGTAGGGATTCTGCAATTGTTCGAGGAAAGCCGTGTCGATCTGCCGCAGTTTCACCACGCTGATGTCCGCCGGCCGCAGGACGAAGGTGCTGTTTTTGCCGTTGCCCCACGTATAGCCCCAGACGCCGCTGGCCAGCGTACGATGGTAGTACGGGCGGCGCTGTACGCTGTAGGAGACTTCTACTTTCGTCCGCGGATTGAAGGCTCGGTTGTAGCGGTCGATTCGCAGCGGCGTGATGAAACGGGGAAACGAAAACGAGGTCGATACGCCTAATTCGAACGAGTTGCGCTTCTGTTTGACGCGCATGAATTCGTAGCCTCCGCGCACCTGATGTCGAACAGTTCGACGCCGCGGAACAGGTTGCGGTTCTGGTAGCCCACCGTGGCGGCGATTCCGAAATAGTCGGCCGACGTGGTTCCTTCGAGTTCCAGCGAGTATCCCTGCCGCAGCGCAGGCGTACAGAAAATAGTGCAGTTCAGGTAGTGTTCGGTGCCGTACGAGGCTTCGCCGATGCCGGTGGAGTCCTGCGACTGCCCGATGTAGGTGATCCGGTTGTCCCGCAGCAGCGTATCGCCTTCCGCTTCCGAAAAGAGGATGCTGGCGCTTTTGTAATAGTCGAGCCGCATGATGTTTTCGTAAGTCCGTTTCACTTCGTCGGCATTATACAGGTAGTTCGGGTAGAGACTGATCGTTCGGCGCAGGATCTCCGCCCGCACTTTCGACCGGGTGTCGTAAACGATTTTCAGGCCTTTGTAGTCGAGCGTGTCGAGCCGGCTTTCGTAAAGAGAATCCGACACGGCTGCCGAGGGGTTGTAATCCGGATAGATATAGATGTCCGGATGCGGTAAATTCGGTTGTCGTCGAGCGTCGCTTCGCCTTCGGCGGTATATCCGGCCATGTAGCGTTTTACGACCATCGTCAGGTTGACCGTGCGGTTGCCCGCCGTCGAGTCGGCTACATAACTGATGTTGTTGATCGAGAAGTTGTAATATCCCCGGTTTTTCAGGAATGAAGTGATCCGTACCCGTTCGTCGTCCAGCGTATTCGCATCGAAAATGTCGCCCGTATGCAGCAACGTCGAAATCGTGTCGCTGAAAATGATCGATTGCAGCGACCGGTCCCGGAAATCGTATCGGATGCTGCCGATCCGGTACGGTTCGCCTTGCCGGGCGAGGTAGGTGACTTTCGCTTTTTTGCCCGAAGTGTCGACCCGAAATGCCGTCGAAGCGTCCAGGAAGCCTTTGCCGTTCAGGTAAATTTTCATGCCTTCGGCCGAACGGGCCGTCAGTGTCGAGTCGAGCAGCACGGGTTCTTTGCCGATGCGGCGTTTGAAACGGTTCCACCAGTTCGTTTGTCCGGGTCTGCCGAATGTAAGCCCACAGATAGAAATTGGTTCCCAGGAAACGTTTGGTCGGATGCTGGCGGATGAATTGTTCCAATTCCGTCCGCGTCGCCCGTTCGTCCCGCGTCAGTTGTTTCTCCCGTTCGATCCGGACGTCGCTTTTGGACAGCAGGTATTGCCCGGACGGAATGTGCCGCGTCGCGCTGCATGCTGCGAGCAAGCAGCCGCAAACGACGACGACGGCAGCCGCAGCCGCCTTTTTGCCGCCTCTGCAAACGAATCCGACCGAATATCCTACTCACTCCGCCAACTATTTTACAAATTTGAAACGCACCCGTAGAACGCCGTCCGCGCAGTCGCTCGAGATCAGCCTGACCGGCGGGATCTCCGCCGTGTTCGATACGTGCGCCCCGATGCACGGACAGCTATCGAAATCGCCGATATGGACGATGCGGACGGTGGTTGCGCCTTCCGGCAGCCGCGACAGGTTGTAACGGGCGGCGGCCTCTGCCGCGGTCAATATTTCGTCCCGCACGTCCGCGTGCGAGGCGATCTGTTCGTTGACCGTCCGTTCGATTCCGGTCAGCTCTTCGGGCGTCAGGTTGCGGTGAAAGCGGAAATCGCATTTCGATTTCTTCTTTTCGATATGGGTCGAAAAGGCCCGGCCGCACCCGAGCGTCCGGGCGATCGCCCCGTTGATCAGGTGCTCGGCCGAGTGCATCGGCTCGAAATAGTCTTTTCCGTTCGGAGTTTGTTCGATCTGATTCATCGTTATTTTAAAACCGATTTTACGAATTTGTCTTCGATGTAAAAAACGCCTTTCCGGGCTTCGAACCGAACCAGGCAGTACTCCGGGTCTTCGACTCCTCCCGGAAATGTTTGATAAACCACTCTTGCCACATGATCTTTTTGACCGCAGGGTATTCGATCACTTCGGCCGTTCCGGTTAGTGCGACGCTGTCTCCGCGGTCGAAAAAAGAGATGCCGGCGCGCGGGTTCCGGCGCAGATGCGCCGTTTTGTCGGAGCTGGTGCCGGTGGCGAACCAGATCGTAAACGGTTTTTCGGCGCGTATTTTGACGACCGGAACGGGACGCGGGAAACCCTTTTCGTCCAACGTCGCCACGGTAATCACTTCGCACCGTTGTAACAGCGCGAACGCTTTTTCGTGAATCGTTTCCATATCCGGTCGGTCTTACGGGTTCTTACTGGTTGAAGAACCCCTGTTTTTCAGCATTTCGAAATATTTCCGCGAAAAAAGACGGTTGTCTTCGCCCTTGTAGCGACGTTCGGTGAAAATACGCGCCAGGTTCGGTAGGTCGTTCGCTTTCAGCAGGCCGGCCGTCTCTTCGGAAGCTTCTTGTCGGCCCAGATCGCGTCGATCGCTTCGGGCGTGTAATCGTGGTAGCGTTCGCGGTGGATTACCCCTTCCAAGGGCAGGCGGTCGGTCGGCGGCGGCAGTTTGTCGGGGTAGCCCATCGTCACGGTAGTGACCGGGATCACCCCCTCGGGCAGGGCGAGCACCTCGGCGATCCGGTCGGCGTTGTAGGTCGTCGTGCCGAGGTAGCAGATGCCGAGCCCCTCCGACTCCGCTTCGAGACAGACGTTTTGCGAAGCGAGGATCGCGTCGATCGCGCCGTTGACGAACCAGACGAAATTGTCGTACTGCGGGTCGCCCCCCCGCTGGCGGCACCACAGCGAGAACCGGCGCACGTCGACGCAGAACGTCAGCACGATCGGGCCTGAGTGACCATCGGTTGTCCGAAATGGCACGGCGACAGTTGTTCCCGGATCTGCGGGTCGGTCGTCACGATGATGCTGTATATCTGCATATTGCCTGTGTTGGAAGCCCTCGTGCCGGCTTCCAGAATCCGTTGCAGCAGGGCCTCGTCCACCGGATCCGGCTTGTAGCTGCGCACCGACCGATGCTCGAATATCGTTTTGATCATAGCTTTCTGTCTTTTTAACGGAAACGCGGATTCCGCATGAATTTATACAAATATCCGCTATTTTTTTGAAAGAGGAAAAGCTTTTTGAAAATTTCGCGATATTTGCACGGATAAGCCGGAAACGATATGAAACAAAAATTTTATAAATACCACGGAGCGGGCAATGATTTCGTGCTGATCGATAACCGTTCGGGCGGATTCGACGTTTCCCGCGCGCATGTGGCCGCCCTGTGCTGCCGCCGCACCGGGGTCGGCGCTGACGGGCTGATGCTGCTGGAAAACGATCCCCAGGAGTTGTTCAGGATGCGCTATTTCAATGCCGACGGCGGCGAATCGACCATGTGCGGCAACGGCGGCCGCTGTATCGTGTTGTTCGCCCATCATTTGGGGATCGGCGGATCGCGCAAGCGTTTTTCGGGATCGACGGCGTGCACGATGCGCAAATCCTGTCGGCGGACGCGACGGCGGGCGAGATCCGGCTCGGCATGATCGACGTTCCGCGCGGGGAGAAATTCCCCGATCATTATTTTCTCGATACCGGTTCGCCGCACCATGTCGAAT